TACACCTCCACTGGGATGTTTACACACCCATTCTCCTGTGATTATGCAAGTGGGCCATATTAACAGGTTTAAACGGTTGTGTTTGCACCCTCACGGTCGCGTTTACACACAACTGAGTAACAGTCATATGATTAAGCCACCAAGCCAATCCATCATTACCATTTTAATAAATTTGCCAAAATTGGGCATTGTTACCAAAATTGATGGAGAATTTCAAATAGCTATTCATATTCGGATAATTTATCGAGAAAAATAATTTTATTACAAGAAATTAAAAGAGAAATAAAAAACTAAATTTTTAATGCGTTACAATAACCTTAATTATTATTGTAGTTTGCATATTGATGTAAATTGCATGATTGTAAAGTGCATTTTTTCCCAAAGATTCCATGTAAATATATTAGTTGCCAACCATATCTATGCTCGCAACAATCAAGAGCAATCCACATCAATATGCCAACTGCGATAAACTTTAAGGTTTGAATCATAACTATTTCTACCTATTTATGCTAATTGTAATTGTATTATTGTTATCTCTATAATAACAATTTAGTTAACATTCACATGCAATCCCATTAACATTGTCCTTCCTGCGATAAACTTGTTTGTGCTCTGATTAGACAAAATTAACAACATATATTGATCATATGATAAGTAACCGATCTGTAAACCAATACTTATTTTATGACCAGCATTTAGAGGTGACTGTCATGAATTCTAGCATTTTTAATGATAACGGTCTATAATAGAACTTAATTAGACCAGCCAAAACTAATTCTGAACAGGCAAAAAATTTGGGCAGCCGAAAATAATTTCGACAGCCAAAAATACTTTACGCAACCAAAAATAATTCTGGCAACCGAAAATAATTCCGGCAACCAAAAATAATTCCGGCAACCGAAAATAATTCCGGCGACCGAAAATAACTCCGGTTGCTGAAACTATTTTCGGCATATCAGCATTTTGAGGTAGCATGCTGAAAATATAAAAAAATCGGCATGCCGTAATGCCGTAAATCCCTCTGAATTTCAGCACCAATGAATATAGACGTATAATTAGACGTATAATTAGACGTATAATTAGATGTAGACTTAGACGTAGAATTAGACATAGAATTAAAACATATAGATAGATTGTTGAGGTTTTTGTAAATAAATACTATTAATAAATTAATAATTTGATTTAAATTAATAAATACATGCGTGCTTACTCAACAACAACATCAGGTGGCATTTATTTTACAGCTATTACCCTATAAAAAAAGTTTGTTCAGTTATTGTAGAAATTGTCCAAAAAAATGTTCGGAACGGAGTCGATTTTCCGAACAGGGTTTATTTTTGTACTGTTTTCATATCGATGTT